GAAAAATATGGTACATTTGAATTTCTCAGAGAGGGGATAATATCATTCAAATATGCCAAAGTGGGGAAAAGGAAGGGACCAGAATATGGCAAATACACAAATCTAGCACAACTCAATTTGCAGGGCTGACAATACCATTTTCAGATACTCATGATATATCCAAATCCCTGGAAACTAAGTAGTAGCCATCGGCCCTGTGTTAATAGTTACCTGTCAATATCTGCTGGGGATAAAGTGATTTCACTCCGATCTGTCAGTTGCTCCGACCGTGCCTTGTAGCCCATTTCATAGTATAGGAACCTTTTTGCCGTTGCGAGCTCTTCCTAAGAGGGGAGAGCACACAATCTGAGCTGTAGGATAACAGCAAATATTTACATTCTGAATTTCTCCTTTGCTGGAATGTTTTATTGGCTCCTTTCACTTTAATTATAATTGCTGGTCCTTAGAGGAATATCAGCAGTTGATGACCAAAAAGTGCTTAAAGGTGAACAAGGTAATTAAGATTAGGCAGCATTTCATGCTTCAGCTAGATCACTGGTTTGGTTGTACAAGTGTTGATTATCAAGTGATAATTACCCCGGGAGACGTGCAAGGTAAAGAATTTTTAGGGATGTATCATGCCCTTAATCCATACAGGCAACTCACAGCGATGTTGCGCTTGCAAACAGAAGGACCAAGAGATGGCCTTTAAGTTTTAGCACAATGAATGCCCTCAGTGAGGAGACTCTGGGTTTAATGCATTTAGTTCTTTTAGGCTGATGGCATGTGCTGATTACTCTCTTCAGGCAGCAAGGTAATGAAGGAGCCTATAATTTGGAAACGGCAAACTCCTTCCTTCATTCCTCCCCTCCCCTTTCTCTACTAGAAACTCCCAATGGTTTACACATAAAGCAAATATTAAAATCAATACTTAAAACAGGGGTCTCCAACCTTTTTCAGGCTTTGCGGACTGGCGAGGGGGAAGAGGGGATGGTTCTATGCATGCCTCATGCGCGAAACTCCATTTGTGCGAGCGGCAGGAGCATGCACCCGCTTGCATAAATGGAGCTTCCCGTACAAGTGCCCACTACTCATGCAAACATGCTTATCTGCCGCTTGTGTGGCCTGGTTCTGAATGGTCACGGCTTGATCCCAGGGCCATAGCCTGGGGATTAGGGACCCCTAACTTGAAAGAGGATTTCAAAAGTAATTAAAATGTAACAAGCAAAACAAATGAAATTAAAAATCAACCGTTTGACTCGGTAAGTTGGTACAAAAAGGTATGATGCAACGGCCTTCCTAAAAGCTAATGAAAAGCTCAGGCCCCTCGCCATGCCGGGAGTCTGTTCCAAGGAACCTGAGCAACAAAAGAGCTGGCTTGATTCTGGCTGACAGCCAGATGAGCTCATGGCAACTGTAGGTGAACCTCCTCGATGATCTCAGTAAGCGAAGAGGGTCATTTGGAGGAAGGCCATCTCCCTTTTATCATTGTCTGCTTTACGCTGCCTTTTATGCTCAAAATCCTGCGCTTGAAAACAGGCACCTGTAACTGAAAGCAGCTATCCAGCTGTGACGAAGGAGCCCTCGGCACAGCATGCAGGCTAGGTAAGATTGCATCTTTTATTTTCAAAAGACCGGGAATAAGACCCAAGAACTCCTTTTCAAATACAGAGGGTTAAAAAAAAAGTACTTTGCAACAACCAGTTATCTCTCTCATGTGGAAGCCAGCACACACACTGCA